TCCACAATTACACAATATGAATACTACTCTCCTTCATCCCCTGATGGCGTGCGGAAGATAGCGGGCACCCCTCCGCGTACTGTTTTTCACAGGATTTCCCGGAAATGCATTTTCGCTTGGGTTTTTTCAAACTGATGCTCTCGCTGAGGCGCGGGCTTCATGTTCGGGCTTCCGCTCGTTCCGAATCGTGCTCCCGCTGCAGCGCTGGCCTCATTTCCGTGTTTCCGCTCGTTCCGAATCGTGCTCCAGCTGCACCGCTGGCCTCATTTCAGCGCTTCCGCTCGTTCCGAATCGTGTTCCCGCTGCAGCGCTGGCGTCATTTCCCGTGCCATGCCACGGCATGCAATTCAATGCTAGGTTGCGTTCCGCTGCGCGATGCCATGCCTTCAGCTGCAGCTGTCATATCCAGTGCGTAAGTGCCACGACATGCTATGCCATGCTACGCTTTGATCTTCAACGCCATGCTATGCAATGCTATGTTCGGGGCCGCTGTGCGATGCCATGCTGTGCGTTGCAAAGCTTTGTGATGCAATTCTTGACTACGCCACGCCACGCCATGCTGTGACATACTACGCTTGGCGGTGCTCTTCTACGCCATGCCATGCCGTGCTCTACAATGCATCGCGTACCCTTTCGGGATCATTGCCCTGCTCAACATCCGACTGTGCGAGTAGAGAGGGGATCTACGCCATGGTAAGGGATGGGAGGGAGGGGTAGGATGTCAGATATGACGCGAGCGCACCTAGCTTGCCTGCCTCCCCCTCTCCGTCAGTCAGAATATAGGTAGAGAGCAGGCATGTGTATAGCAGCATGTAGAGCAGCATGAAGAGAGATGTTCGTTCCATAGACGTCTTGGGTCAAACCACCGAAAATCGGACTTTGGTAGCGGAGCTGTCGGTCCTCGGACCCGCGGTTCCTTTCGACATCGTAAACTAGTTTACGATCGTTCAGGTACATTCTACATTGTTGTGGATTTCACGGTTCTCAGCTTGACGTTAAGGATCTGAAGGAGCTCAGCAGCACCTGTATCTACGACGGAGTGAACGACCACAAACAGCAGTACCGCGAGGGCTTCGTGCAGCTCGCGAGGACCACCGACACGCTCGGCGGCAATTACGGCAGTAAGTACAATATCAATAAGGTCTCAAGATGGCAGCCTCGGCGGATTTGCGAGGCATACCCCTGGATGAGTACACGCGACAGTGTCCACCAGGATGGCGACCGTACGTGCGGAACTACTCCTTGGTCACGTACGAGGAGAAGCTGCGACGTTGGATGGGGATGACAGACATTCCTGGCGACTGCCAGGGCAGCTTAGTGGTCGGCAGACTGAAGGGCTCGGCGTACCGCATCGCGATGAAGATCAGGCTTCGACGACAGGACGGCAACATGCTAGATCAAGACGAATCCGTGAATGCACCAACGGAGGCCGAAGATGTTGATCGAGGCCTGCCGGCCACACCATCAGGGTTGCAGCAGATATTGGCAGACCTGCGGACAGCCTTCGGCGACAACAGCCAGGATCTGCAGGCGTTTCATCTGGATCGGTTTTTTGAGTTACATCGTGGATCACACTCGCTCTTGGACTATCTGACGGCATTCAAGTTGCGCTACGAGGCGGCAGAGGAGCACGCGGCGTTGAACATCAACCACGTCGGTCTGACGCACCTCCTGCTTGGTCAAGCTGGACTGGCTCCTAGGTCCATTGACGATCTGATGCTGAAGGTAGACGGCGACAGGGGCCAGTTCACGGAGATTGGCAAGCTTTTGATGAAGTTCAGCAAAGGACAGAAAGAGATCGGCGAGGGCGACACGCAAAGTATTCTCCTTACTTATACTGATGATGGCGACGACCAAGAAACTGATCACGACGGACACTGGCACATCTACGACTATACCTATGAGCAGGCGTATTACCTCAACTTGGCATCGGAAGATATGGATTACCTCTCTTACATGGTTTCAGATTGCTGGGACGGCACCTGGAGTGCTAATGAATTCCAAGCGGGGTATTATCAAGAGGATGATGATCACGATGATGATGATGATTATGACGACGAAAAAGCTCTTCTCGATGACCCTCTCGACGGTCCTCCACACGATCTGGCTTTCTACGGCAAGTACGGACGACGGCGCAAAGGCAAAGGCTACGGCAGCAACAAAGGTGGCTTCGGATATCGTCGCAGAAGTTCTGGCAAAGGCGGCAAAGGCAAGAACAGATTTCGATCGTTCGGGCGTAGCAAGTCAGGTGCCAAGGATCGACGAGGACGCGACTATTATGGCAGCAAGGGTAAGAGCAAAGGCAAAAGCAAGAGCAAGAAAAACAAAGGTACTGGATCAGATGACCGACATGGACCGGTGATGGATCTTCACCAAGGATTTGGACAACAACAGCAAGCTCAACCTGGATCTACTGTACACAACTCAAGAAGCTCAGGATCGAACACTGGCTGTGACAAGTGTGGCAGTCGGTGGCACAGCGTGAAGGATTGCCCGGTCAACAAGGCTACTAGCAGGAAAGGTTTTTTGGTCAGGCTTGGCGACAGCAGCATGAAGGACACTACGGCGATGGATATCACACTTCCAACACCTCCGACTGCGACATCGGGCTATGATAGCATCAATCGACATCAAGAGGCAGCAGCAGAACGACAGCACTTGGCCTCACTCAAGAAAGAAGAAGCAAGGATCGAGGAGGAGACCAAGATATGGGCTACTGAGGAGGACATCATGGACTGCAACAACAAGGATCCCTGGTCTGAGCAGCAGTCAAATCCATGGCGATCAGCATTGCGACCTTCGGCTCGACCAGACTCGAGCGATGTCGGCTCCTGGCAGAACACTCCATCGGAGCAGGCACCGGACGCTCGCACGACAGTCTCTGACGACAAGCCGGCACAAGAACATACATTCGACTTCGGCGAGGCGACGGTCTCGAGGTTCTTTCGGAGCGAGAAGAAGCACGCCATGTTTGGACTGGGCCTGCCGACTCAGCAGCAGTATCCAGAGCTACCTGCGGCGCGATCGGCCAGCAGCCTCGGCGTTTGTCCTCAGCATTTTCAGCGAAGGCGACGACACCTTCGAGGCGTACCATCTTGTCAGGGGTCGACAACGCAAGGGATTTACCATTGATCCTGGAGCAGCTTCTGGCATCTGTGGCACTGACACGCTGTTGCAGCACAACGGTAAGCACACGCAGAACTATACGATCACCCCAGGATCAGGCAGCTTTACTGGCATTAACGGCAGACCCACTACTGGATTGGGACACGTGGCACAGAAGGCTCAACGTTCCCGTCTTGCGTTGGTCTGGCATGGCGATCTTATCGGTGAGAGCGGCTCCAAATGCCCATCATTGTTGCCGCTGCCTTCTCTGGTTCACTACAGAGCTCTACTCGTACATGGACTTACTGATGATGGCAATGGAGCTCTTGTGTTGGCTTCTCACAGCGACCCGTCGGACGTGCATGTGGTCAGAGTTCTTCTCACGGATAGCAGTCACCACCTACTTCCGACGGACGATCCTGAAGGTCAGCAGCGCGAGGAATCAGCAGTTTCAGCACAAGTGGTCGAGATGCTGATGCACACGGTGAAGAATATCAACGACAAGATTCTTAAGACTGATATTGCGGCTCTCGTTTCCTCTTGCACCCAGGAGGACCAAAGATCAACTCTGCGAAAGACACACCTCATGGCATCAACATCTACGGCAGGAAGTGACGGCAGCACTACCGGGCAGGATACACCAGTGGACCGTGCACCGACCAACGCGGACAGATTTGCAGGCGCAGCAGAACACCACGGCATGCTTCGTCACTGGGGCGGTCAAGTCTACATGGAGGACAGCTTCCCAGACTATCTCACTAGCGAGCACGTGGCGTGGCTGATGCAGAGGTATTCGCCGGCCCAACGGGCCAGAGGCGTGCTAAGATCTCCGGTAACTGGTTAAGAATTCTCTAGTTCGCGCGCGCGGGGCGGCCCCTGGGGGTCCCCGGACGAAAAGTACCCCGGCAAGGTCCTGAGAGAGTCCCGGGAGGAGTCCCCCAGAGCGCTCCAGGAGCGCTCCATGAGCGCACCAACAGGGCTCCGAGACGTCCCCGAGAGCCCCAAGAAAGGCCAAGAGGCCCCCAAGAGGCCCCCAAGATGGTACACGAGGGGTCCGACATGCCACAAGATCGCTCCAAGACGCCCAAGATAGCCCCCAGACGCCCCAAGAGGCCTCCCAGAGCACTCCCAAGAGGGCCCCCGGAGGCAAAATTCATTGTTTTTCCTTAGGTTTTTGAAAGATTTTGGAGCTTCCACCTTTTCGGTTCCCGACGCCCCAAGACGGCCCCAGAGGCCCCCAAGATCGCCCCAAGAGGGCCCAAGAGGCCCCCAAGAGGGCCCCAAGATGGCCCAAGAGGGCTCGAAGACGGCCCAAGAAGCCTCCAAGACGGTCCAAGAGGGCCCCAAGAACACCCCCAAAGGGGCCCCAGAGAGGGAACACGAAACAAAATTTCGCGCCCTCGGCCCTAAGAAGCCCCTACGAGGCCCCAAGAGGCCCCTAAGAGGCCCCAAGAGGCCCCCACGAGGCCCTCAGGAGGCCCCCAAGAGTCCCCCAAGCGGCCCCAGGAGGCCCCCCAAATGCCCCCCCGAGCGCCCCAGGAGTCCCCCAAGCGGCCCCAGGAACCCCCAAAGCGCCGCATTGACACCAGGCCCTCGGGCAAACGGCAGACATGAGACCGTATGGGCCGGCGGAATGAGCGAAGCGATTCAATAAAAACATCCCCGAGGAGTTCTACACCAAGACAGGCTACGAGGTCGTGACTCCAGACAACTTCGACAAGTGGTTCCACATTCATCATGGTCTCCAAGTAGTTTGGGCCTTTCAAGAGCAGTGGTCTGGATCAGGACGACTTTCTTTGTATGCAGTGAGGTGCGGACTCACAATGCGCTTTCCAATCGACTACCGCTACGGCTGGGACCTCATGAATCCCGATCATCGGGAGTTGGTAAGCAAGGTTCAGACCGTCTTCAAGCCCATAGTGAAGCTCTCTTCTCCAGACTGCAGGCTGTGGACGGCCATGAGCAACATGCGAGGAGCTGGAGTTGCGGCAGCCGAACGACAGGCAGAGTTTCCAATGTTGGAGTGGCTTTATCATGATAACGTCGTTCAGGATCGAGACGGACATGGCTACGTCAACGAGAATGGTCTACGTTCTCAGCTCTGGACGCAGTCACCACTGAAGCAGAATCAGGACACCGTCAGCAATAGAACTCGACGAGTTGACGGATGCGCTCACGACTGCCTGAACGCAAACAACGAGCCCTTGGAGAAACCATACAAGCTCGACTCCAACATACAGCTGAAGAAGACCATCCGACGATGCCCTGGTCATGGAGTTCAACGACATGCAGTTATCGAGGGCTCAGTACCAGGCTCCAGCTCCAAGACTGCAGCGTTGACTACCATGTACACTCGCACGATGTGCCGGGCACTCATCAGCGACATCACTTCCTTCGCGCGCAAGTTTACCTGCGCCCTGATGTTGGCGACGCTCGTCTACAGCAACATCGACATACACCACGGAAGCCCGAACACAGAAGCAGAGCGAGTTCAGCTACTTCACCCTAAGGCGACGGCACCTCAGCTCGGCAGCGACGGTGCGGCGGCACATGACATCACCACGATCACCGATGACTTTCTCGAAGACAATGGCATGTATTTCATACCGGGCTCAAGCTGGCACTACAAGCAGGTACCGCTGGCCAGCTGTGGCATCGGTCGGGCCTGGCGTTGAGGCAAGGTCTCGGCATCAATGGGGGGGTTATCGACGCTGACTACAGAGGCGAGCTTATCGTGATACTGGAAAATAGTGGCAAGTCTCGCTTTGCATGCCAGAGAGGCGACAGGATTGCTCAGCTCATGATCGTGCAGACACAGACTCCACCAGTGAAGATCAGGGATCACATCGACGAGGACGAGACAGAGCGTGGCAAGAACGGTTGCGGCAGCACTGGACTACACACGCAGGTGAATGACACAGAAGCCTTCTGGGGCTGCCCTAAATGCAAGTATTCTAAAAAGCGTGAGCACAGCAGGATTCCTGGAAACTGCAAGCTGGCGCCCAAAGCAGATCCCAAGCGGACGTTGACACGACCAGCTGCCAAGGCACCCGCAGCAGTGGCAAAGGCAGCGGCACCAGAAGCGTCAGCTCCACCTCGACAGCTAGCACCACCGGCTCCAGCACCCGATCCACGACCATTAGAAAATTTGGACGAGAACATCCTACAACCTCCACCAAATTCGGCTTCTGCATCGAGTTCCGTAGCACCAGCAGCGGCACCAGAAGCAATTGTAGGACCTACGACGAGAGAAATACAACCACTACAGCGACCAGCTAACGGCACTGTCCAAATGAAGGTGGCCTACGACCGGCTGCGGCGAGCCAAAGTGGACGACTTCACCATGAACATTCACGAGCAGCTGAAGAATCTCGATCAGATATGGTTGGCTCGCATCTTGGCAGATTTAGCAGGACAGCACACAGGCATACTCACGGCGCCCAACACTCAGCAGCAGCTCAACCTGGGCGACGACACCGATGGCACCACTCAGATGTTGATTGAACTCTCTGCACATCACCTTTTCAGCCGAACAGCTTGGAGACATCCAACACCACCTCGATAGACGACAGTCCATTTTGAGTGATCTTCTTCGGCGCAGACATTGACAAGTGGGAGTCTTCGACACTGGAACGGCTTGATGGACTCACACCAGCACAGCAGCATCATGGCATTCGCGGACATAAGTGGCTTATCGTTGCTCAAGGTCATGAGCTACCACCTACAATGGAGGAAGATGCTGAACGAAGGATCCTACCGAGGCTCAAGCTCATCACCACACCTCCGAGCTTTGACTTCACCAAGCTACGGCAACAGCTGAAGGAGACAGAGTCCGACGCTGAACGCTTTCGCTTGCCGACAGGTCTTCATGAGCGACTATGGCATGAGCAATTACCTGGCATGGAGAAGTTCTTGAGACGACTTGGTGCACGGGACAAGTGCCTGGAGCTGGCTCAACAAGTGATTGCAGCATGCGAGGAGTGCAACGACTGGGCACCCATCGCCAGCAAGCCCAAATATCGAGCAGAGCTCGCAGGTGTTTCGGCGACATTATGGTGTGTGACCTCTTCGTCATATTCGGCAAGACATTCTTACTCATGGTCGACGAGGCTATCAGATGGAAGATAGCCGAAATGCTACCCAAGAAGGACGCGTTCCACATAGTTCAGGCAATGCTACGAGCTTGGATCCGCTACTTCGGACCTCCCAAGTGCATCAAGCTTGACCAAGAAGGCGGCGTTAGCTCAGCCGACTTCGCAGTGGTGTGCGATCGCTACAGCATACACAGGTAACTGGGTGGCTCGGACGACTCAGGCAAGCATACAGTCACTGGACTGGCAGAACGACACATCGGCCTCATTAAGACATCCTCCTTGAAGTGCAAGGCCAGCACATCTAAGCAAGGCCTTGTGGTTCCCGACGAGGACATAGTGTTCGAGTGTACGATGTGCCAGAATTTCATGCTTGAGTACGGCGGCTTCACACCATCTCGGTGTCTACAAGACAGATTCCTCGTGGTTTCTTTGATCACGGTTCCAACTCCACTCATGCTATCGACGGTGCTCGTGACTCTATTCCAGACACCTTCGAGTCTTACCTCAGGCTCAGAATGATGGCCAAGTCGGCAGCTCAGAAGGCAGTCATCGAGCAGCGTATCGCAGACGCTAACAATACCAAGGTGCAAATCCTCTCAGACGTGGCAAAACTACGACCACTACAGGACTTTGTCGATCTGCATCGAGTTCCTGATCGCAAGGACGCACCCGGGTGGAGAGGACCGTGCGACGTACTGGACATCAACCTGAAGGAGAACGTGGCCATCGTCAAGCACCAGTCCATGCCATATATTGTTCCGCTCAGGCATGTGCGACCACATCAGGCACGATCGTACGCAGTCATGGCGGCTTGCCCGCCGACTCAGATGCTGATGGACGAAGAAGGCAGATGGCAGGACAACTTGCACGACGACATGTGCACGACTCTACATGGCCTACTTGACATTGTCGATGGTCAGGCACCGGGCACTACGATCACGGTTGGAATGGTTCACGACGCCAACGGCATGCAGATTGTTGTGCCGGACGACTTCGAGGTCAACGCTCCCGAGGTCTTTCGTCTGGCCTCCCAAGTGGGCGAGGCCTTGTTGCAGCTGGCGGCTCCCAGAGCTATCAGGTTTGGCACTCAGCTACACAACATCAACCCCTACCACGGCATCAAGCGAGGAGTCATTCTAGCATGGGCTCGACGAGATCGACTCAGCTATCAAGTACGACAAGTGGATCTGGGACATACCTTGCGACTGGCTACCATATTGCCAGACGCGCCAAGCAAGTACTCGTCCATCACCTATGTCTCAGAGCAGTACGAAGAAGTTACAGTTCAGGACGCAGTACCAGACCTGTCGGACATCTCCAGCATCGAGCAGATAGACGACGCGCCCTGGACACCTCCTACGCAATTTCTACCATTACCACCTTCGACGGAGTGGTGGAAACCTCCAGGCTACGACAGCATAGCTATGGAGACTGACGATCATCAACAGCCTCCTCAGCCTCCACAGCCTCCAGGACGACCACCGCAGGTACCTCGACAGCCCGCGGTACCGCGGTCGGCCTTCCCGCCGACTGATCAATTACAGCACATGGACAGCACCCTCGAAACAGTGTCGAGGTCAGGCACCTCTATATTGGCGCCACCTGCGCCTCCTCGACCTCCTGGCGATCGTCCAGGTCGACCTGTGCCAGAAGGCGGTCAAAAGCGAGCTGTGGCGGCAGATCATGATATCAGCATATCTGATGAAGAATTTGTTCCGTGAAGTCCAGCATCTCGTCGAGCACCGACCTCGCCTAAGGCTTCGGCACCACCTCGGCAGGTGCCTACTACAACGATATTCCCAGCGCCACAGGCTCTGGCTCCACCAGACGGGCGACAAGCGGCGCTTCCTGACTCACCTGTGGGCATGGACGCATCTCGCTCGGAACCTGCAGCACCTGAGCAACCACCTGTGGCACCAGAGGCAGAAGCTCATGAACATGATGACGACAGATCTCGGACACAGACATCCATCTTGAAGCGCGGCTCTACCTCGAAACTCGGTCCACGACTGAGGGCCGACGGCGATTGGATACGAGAACGACGAGATCGGCGCGTCAAATTCGACAACCCTGACATGAGCTCGACCCCAGCACCTTCGAGTGACTCACAAGCGGCAGCATCATCGGGCGAGCAGGGCCCGACGCTACCTATTGCTGAAGCAGCTCAAGATGATGGTACCTGAACAAATACAACAAGCAGCTGATCAACCTACCATTGAATATTCACCTCACTCTGATCAAGCAGCCGAAGCGACCGAAGAGTCTGAGCCGACACTGGAATATCCGCGGCATGATGACGAGCGGTCCAGATCGGTTCACCTTCCAGTACATCAGAGCTCTCCGGACGCAACCATAGAGTACCCACATCAGCAGTCTCACGACGACGACGAGGACAAGACCATCGACTACAATCCTGAGCACGACGACAGGTCTCGGTCTACTCATGATCTCAAGCGTGAGGACTTACACGCTGGATCGTCTGACGTGTTCTACTGCTCGGCTTGGCAGGAACTACTTGAGCACCACCAGAACTTCACCAAGCACGTTGACTTAGTTCCCGAACTCAAGGACTACGGGGGCGAGTATCACAAGTCCATGACAGAGCAACAGGCGCTCATTGCTGAGCACTTTCACTCAGACGTTGAAGGCTTCAACCTCACCGACGGCGACGAAATACCGAGCAGCTGGAATCGGAGTCAGGCTTACATATCCTTCGACTGGCCTTTCCCTGAGGACCACTGCTTTTATCTCGACATCCTCACGGGCGAGTGTTTCGCATCGGCCACGGACTCGCTCATCCTGAAGCCCAACGATGTGGTGGAACATTTCGACCTGGTCGAGGCAGCAAACCTCAAGGAGATCAAGCAGTCCGTCGAGTCTACCGTGTGGAAACCGATACCTATGAGCAAGTGCAAGCAGGATCCAATTGATTGCGTCTGGGTTCGCAAGTGGAAGCAGATCACGGCTTTCTGGACGGCCAAGGCGCCTCACTTCCGAAGCGAGCTCCTACGGCGACTCGGTTGTCACAGCGGCTTCTGGTTTCGCTGGCAGCGATCTACGACTTCACCATCGAGAGCTGGGACGTCACTGGCGCATTCCTGAAGGGCTTGCCTTTCAAGGATATGCACGAGGTCCTGCGCAAGCGCGGCATCAAGACCCCAGAGCGGCAGGTGCACATTATTCCACCGGCCAGTGTCTGGAGACACCTACTCGATCCTAATACGTTCCACGTTCCCTCGCTGCAGGGCAGTCTGAACGTGTGGGTTCTGGGGTGTCTCAAGGCGATGTACGGGCTTAACGACGCACGTCTGGCATTTCAGGTTGTCATGCAGATCTTCGTGACAGAGACGCTTGGTGGCAGACCCTCGGCGTTCGATGATTGTTTCTACTTCTGGATGGAAGCTCCAGGAGAACTCAAGGCGATCGCGGCTTCCTACGTGGACGACAACAACAACGCGAGCAGCAACGAGTGGCTCAACGAATCCTACGTCAAGTTCTCGGACATATTTGGAGGAGCCACGCGACAGCAACCACCAATGAATCATGTGGGAGTCAGACACGAGCAGACCGACTTTGGCATCCGAATGTCTCAGGACGAGTTCTGTCAGAACCTTTAACCAGTTCCTCTCGACAAAATTCGAGCAGCTCAAGACGACTCACGACTCACAGCGACGGAGCTCAAGGCATTCCGCGGACTCTTGGGCGGCCTGCTGTGGCTATGTCAGACACGACTGGACGCGATTGCATATACGGTTACCATCCAGCAGAACACGACATCGGAAACTATTAAGTACATCAAGATGGCCAACACACTACTAGCTCGTGTGAAGAAGTACGCGACAAACGTGGGCTCTACTTCCCGAAGACTTCTCACCCATTTGTGATAGACACGGTGGCGGATTCAAGTGGAGCTACCTCAAGCAATTCTTACGCTCAAGAGGCAGTGCTTATCTTGTTGGGCTCGGAGAGGCGCGTGCAGGTTGTGGCAACGACATCGATTCACTACCAACAGGTGTGCGCCTCCAAGCAGAAGCTCAGCAAGTTCTGTCACATCATAGCTTCGCTGTCTCATAAGGCCACGAGGGTCTCAGGCAGCACAACACGGGCAGAGACGTTAACAGACGTAATTGACAAGGAGTTGGCTCAGATGATTGCCATGCGACTGATGGAGTTGTTCGCACTGGGCATCCAACTTCCTCTACATGATGGCAGCACGATGCGGCAATTGATACAGATTCAATACAACGCTGAGTTCGCAATACCAATAGTCAGTGGACAGATTGTAGAAAGTTCTTCGAGCTCAGCGTCGGCCTCAAGGGCGTACCTCAAGATCGGCATCAACGGCTGTATGTACTTTCGGTTCGAGAAGATCGGTTACGCGGCTACATCAGACGTTTCTTCTGGTGTCCTACGACGGCCATGGTGGCTGATGGGCTGACAAAGAGCATGATATCAGAGATTCTCTACGACTTGCTGAACTACTGCTACTAGCGCGTGGAAACCAAAGGTATCTAGTGTCTGGTGGCGACGATCGACGCTCCTGCAGTGACAGTGACCGAGGGCGACCTGATCAAGATGAAACCTTCGTGGGCAGGGTCTCCTTCGGTGTGCATGGCGGCAAGGTTACAGGACCTAGACTAAAGGCGCTGGACGGTATTGAGATTCACTGGAGTTCGCAGGATGGCTTATGGGAGTATTTGTTTTGTGACACTCTCTGTTCGAAAAGAAGTGACGGTACTCTCAGAAGCTTGGCAGAATGGTGAGTCTCTCCGATCGTGATATCACTGCTGACCGACATAATGTACATACGGTCGGCATGCCACGGAATCATCTCCAGACTTGAGCTCGACGGACATTGTCGAACTAGTTTACGTACTCCGCATCTTTTTGGATATGGTCAATGACCCGGACGGGACGGACAAGATGGAAAGGCCGTCCGGCAACTGTTTCTTGTACTTCAATAAGCTGTATATCGATATCTTCGTGTATCCGTAGGGTAGAATGATTGCTTTACCCAATGTAATCGGGTCCGAGGAATGGTAGCTCCACTGTTGTACTTTGATTTGTATTGGAGGATTCCGTCTTACAAGCCAGGAGGACCAGAGTCAGAATATAGGTAGAGAGCAGGCATGTGTATAGCAGCATGCAGAGCAGCATGGAGAGAGATGTTCGTTCCATAGACGTCTTGGGTCAAACCACCGAAAATCGGACGCGGTCCTCCCCCTCCCCTCCCCCTCCCCGCACTCCCCTTCCTCCCCATCCATATCCATGGCTCCCTTTCACGCGGGGCCTCTTCCGAGCACGGTGCCGCCGGACTCCAGGTCCTGACCAGCCCCCGCCGCTCCCCCCGCCCCCTCACACTGCACCCCTCTCCTCTCCCCGCGCCTCCCAGAGCTCCGGCGGCCCGAAACATGGCGCCGCATGGTCCTCCGAGTTCGGGGGCGTGCAGGTAGGGGGCGTCCAAAGGGGGGTGAGGGCCCCATGAAATCCGGCGAGATATCGCGGCTCCAGCTATGGTATCCAAACCCCCCCAAGTCATCACCCCCCCTTGGCCGCCCCAGAAGTCAGTTCCGCCTGCGGGGGCCATCTCTGGGCCCCAGGAATAGTTACACCAGAGAGAAAACCCTACATGTGTTGAACATTAATAGGATGGACTTTGAGATCGATTGTGATATCGATAGTGAAATCGATACAGTCGGACCGAGGCAAGAAGAACATCCCTCAAGAACATGAGACCCTCTGTCGGCCAACACAAACATAATATCCAAGGGTACCCTCCCCAGGGTGAACACGAACATCCAACCAACACGAAGAACACTAGGGTATCTTCCCCGAACCGACCTCGCTCTGACACCTCGGTCCGATTGTAGTCGGATCGACAGTGACAACAATGGTAAGGACGATCGCGACACTGCTAGTGACGTCGACTCAGTGATATCGATAGTGAGATCGATCGTGAGATCGCTCGTGCGATCTCTAGTGAGGTCGATTGTGAGATCGATCGTGAAATCGATTGTGAGATCGATAGCGAAATCGATAGAGGAGGTGGGTAATGAGATCGGTGGTGAGACCGATCGATAAGGAGATCGACAAGGAACCCGGGAACCTGGAAACCCAGGATCCCCCGCCGCCCACCGAATTCGGCCCAGAACCAGCAACCATAAACCCAGAACCGGGAACCGGGGAACTCGGCCGCATGCCGAAATCGGCCGGAGAATTTCGCCAAATCTTTCGACATCCGCTAGGACCCTCTCTGTGCAAGCACCGATTGGGGAAAAAACATGCCCAGCCAAGGATGAGGAGCCTCGTCTTGGGGGGTGGTGAGGAGTTCCAGTGGCTGGAGACTAAGACCAAGAGCAAGGCATTCGAGGCCTGAATATTTATCCATGCGGGATCCCTTGCTCCCCGCACCGATGCACAAGGAGACATTCGAAAACCTCGAATGCCCCATGGCCACATTAAGACGACGCGGGGGCAAGGACAACACCGGACCTGGACAGATCGGGGATCTCTGAGATCCGGCGGATCTGGAGGACGTAGTGGGCGCCGCGGCCTTCTAAGAGCGTTCTTCTCAAAGCGTTCCAGAACGCTCTGAGAGCGTTCACGAACGCTCTGGAACGATGCATTCTTGACCCAGCCTAACCCGATACGTGCTTCTGAAAGCCTTTTGCCCAGTACGGACGGAAGAAACTCTGGAATGCCTCAGCAGGCCTACGTATCCCTCCGTGTCTCTCCCTGCTTCTGTCATGTAAACCTCATTTCCTCTGCCACCGTCCCTCCCGTCTGCCTGCAACCCTCCCTCATCCCTGCATCCGTCCCCGTGCGCGTCGGAATTATCAGCATGTTTTCCTTCGTGGCTTGCGCTACCGTCCTCTCGGTATATTCACACACGCGCACATACTGATCATCATGTAAACTCGCCGTCACAGGAAGTCGATGTGTCCCATTCAGAAACAACGAAGAGAAATTGTACCAGAACCGCACACGCGCAAGACTACAATCATGCGTGCGCGCGCGTGTAAAGGCATGTGATGTTTACACGGGTCCATACCCGCGCTATAAATGGGTTGTGCACGATTCGCGTACACACCAGTGTACATATACATGTACATATGCAAATACACATATTATACCTGAGAAAACCCAATCAGTGGGTGAATTGAAAATTGATACTATGGATCTTGAGATCGATTGTGAGATCGATAATGAGATCAATAGTGAAATCGATCATGCGGACGATTGTAAGGTCGATCGTGAGACCGAGAGTGAAATCGATTCGATGAGATCGATAATGAGATCGATCGCGAGATCGCTCATTCGATCTCTAGTGAGAGCGATAGTGAGATCGATTGTGATCGATGGTGAGATCGATCGAGAAATCGGTAATGAGATCGATGGTGAGACCGATCGATAAGAAGATCGACCAAGACCCTGGGAACCGGGGAACCTCGCCGCCCTCCGAAATCGGCCCGGAACCTGGAACCGGGAACCCGGGAACACTGAACCGGGAACCCGGGAACCCAGCGTGCGACCAAAATCGGCGGGGCACTGTCGCCAAATCCTTCAACATCCGCGAGAAATCCTTCAATGCAAGCACTGATTGGGGAATGAGATCCGTAATGAACTCGACAGTGAGATCGGTAGTGAGATCGATAGTCAAAAGAGAGCGTGATCCAGCGTGATCCACCGCCGCTTTACTGTGGAAATTTCCCCCCCCCCTTCCTCTGGAACCCGGGGGTCCCCCCCCCCCCTCCGAAAATCCCCCCCTGCTGCCCCCCCCCCCCCCCCCCCCCTCCCCTCCTCGAAAACCGGGGGGGTCACTACCGGTTCGAACCCCCCCCCCCCTCGAAAACCGGAGGGGGGGTCACTACCGGTTCGAACCCCTCCCCACCCCCCCCCTCACCGCCAGCAAACGACTCCCGGTCCCTACCACCGTCCGCACCACATCCCCCACTGTTGTTCCCAGCACCACTGTCCTCACCACCACTGTCCCCACTGGTTCCACCACCGTCCCTACTGTCCCCACCAGTGCCCCCACCACTGTCGCACTGTCCCCACTGTCCCCACCACTGTTCCCACCACGGTTCCACTCTCCCCACTTTCTCCACGGCCCCAACCACTGCCCGACTATCCCCACTGTCCCCACTGTCCCACTGACTCCTCCGCTGTCCCACTGAGCTGTCCCACTGTTCCCACCACTGTCCCCACTGTCCCCACCACTGTCCCCACTGTACCTCTGTCCCATTGTCCCACCGCCGTCCTCCCCACCGCCTTCACCACTGTCCCCACCACCACTGTGCCCTCCACGGTCCCACTGTTCCCACCACATTCCCACTGTCCCCACACCACTGTCCCGACCACCACCGTCCCCACCACTGCCCCACTGTCCCCACTGTTCCCACCATTGTCCTCACCACTGTCCCCACCACTACCGTCCCCACCACCGTCCCACTGTCCCCACCACTGTCCCGCTGTCCCCTCACCACTGCCCCCACCACCACCGTCCCCACCACTGTCCGCACCCTCCCCCGGTTTTGGAGGGGGGGGGGGTTCGAACCGGAAGTGACCCCCCCCCCGGCTTTCGAGGCAGAGGGGGGGTTCGAACCGGCAGTGACCCCCCCCCCTTTCATGATGGACTGGGGGGGGGGCCCGGGGGGGGGAGGGTTCGAACTGGTAGTGACCCCCCCCGGTTTTCCGGAGGGAGGGGGGGGGGGGGGGGAGGGGTTCGAACCGGTAGTGACCCCCCCCCGATTTTCCGCCAGCAGCGGTAAACACGCTCTTTCATAATTAACCATCGGCCCGGAACCAATTATTAGGAACCCGGGAACCTGGAACTGGGAACCCGGGAACCAATGAGATCCGTGATCAAGTCGACAGTGAGATCGGTAATGAACCATCGGCCCGGAACAGATGACCAAAAACCTGGGAACCTGGGAACCCAGAGGCGGGAACCCGGGAACCCAGCGTGCCACCAAAATCGGCGAGGCGCTGTCGCCAACTCTAGCAACATCCGCGAGGACCCTTCAGTGCAAGCACTGATTGGGGAACATATGCACATACAAATACAAATGCATAAACATATACATATACATGTACAAGTACATATACATAATTACATAAACAAACACATATACATAGACATACACATATACATATACATACAAATACATACACATAGACTTGTAACTATACATGGACATGCATATGTATATACATGCATACATGCATATATGCATACATACAGACATACATACATACATACAGACATACATACAGACATACAGACATACAAACATGCATACATACATATATACATAGACACATATATACGAAAGAGCGTGTTCTACCGCTGCTAGCGGAAAACCGGGGGGGGTCACTACCGGTTCGAACCCCTCCCCCCCCCCCCCCTCTGGAAAACCAGGGGGGGTCACTACTGGTTCGAACCCCTCCCCCCCCCCCCTCAGTTCATCATGAAAAGGGAGGAGCTCGAAAACCGGGGGGGGTCACTACCGGTTCGAACCCCCCCCCCCTCGAAAACCGAGGGGGGGTGCGGACAGTGGTGGGGACGGTGGTGGTGGGGACAGTGGTGAGGGGACAGCGGGACAGTGGTGGGGACAGTGGGACAGTGGTGGGGACGGTAGTGGTGGGGACAATGGTGAGGACAATGGTGGGAACAGTGGGGACAGTGGGACAGTGGTGGGGACGGTGGTGGTGGGGACAGTGGTGTGGGGACAGTGGGAATGTGGTGGAAACAGTAGGACAGTGGAGGGTACAGTGGTGGTGGGGACAGTGGTGAAGGCGGTGGCGAGGACGGCGGTGGGACAATGGGACAGAGGTACAGTGGGGACAGTGGTGGGGACAGTGGGGACAGTGGTGGGAACAGTGGGACAGCTCAGTGGTTCGAACCGGTAGTGACCCCCCCCTCCGGTTTTCGAGGGGGGGGGGGGGTTCGAACCGGTAGTGTCCCCCCTCGGTTTTCGAGCTCGAGGGGGGGGGGGGGTTAGGGGAGGGGGGGGGTTTTGCCGGGGGAAGGGGGGGGAGGGGGGGGGGGGGGGGTTCCAGCATGGGGGGGGGGATTTTCGGAGGGGGGGGGGAACCCCGGGCTCCGGAGGAAAAGGGCGGCAATTTTCCACAGTAAAGCGGCGGTGGATCACACTCTCGCATATATATATATATATATATATATATACATAGATACATACATACAAACATACAAACATACATACAAACAGACAGACAGACAGACAGACACACACACACACACATATATATATATATATATATATACACATATCTATATATCTATATTGTATCTATGAACGTC